ACTGAAAACCCAGATTGATGGTAACTGACAGGAGCACTAATGACCCAAGTTTTGGCCACACTGTCACCTAGGTGAGAGCCTGACCAAAAAGGGGAATCTTGCTAAATGAAATTATTGGAAACCATTGTTTTGGAATTAGCTTCTGCATTAGGCCACAACAGACCACAGGTTTAGATATCAATGAACAAAAGATCATTAAAGGGATTAAAAAGATACAGACACCTTGATGTTAGCCATCATGAAGCACACACACTACTCCAAGATAAATTTCTAGGTTTGGTATGGGCAGAGTCAAAACACATGATAAAGGCACCACCAAAGAGCCATTTATTTGTTCTTTATTTGCAGACTACCACAGAAAGCATCTTTGCTCTTTCTTCCATACAGCTTTCTCATGTTCTCCTCTGACCTTCCATCACTCAATCTTTCCATTCTCTTCTGTGTCTAAGGAACCCCTGCTGAGATCAGCTCCTACTTGTTAATACCTTCCTGGAAAGATAACTCTAGGAGCCCTAAAACAGACCAGGATGGAGATGAGCTCAGTTCCACAACATCCACAAGTCTCCATATTATAGGGACTCACAAATCTGTAAAGCCCCATTCTGGGACAGAGAGATGAGAATAAGGAAGCGTTTAGGAGTGGAGGGAAGAGAAAGGCTAATGTGAATTTTTTTATCCCAACTACCAAATTCCTATAATTGTACTTCTGTTTTAAAAATCTGGACATCAAGAACTCTTAATTTAGTCCACATAGGTTAGGGAAAGAAATTAGAAATTCTAGCAAGGACTGAGTGCTATAATATTTTCATCAAGGACCACTGTAGAATACTTACTCATGGAGGACTCCATCACCTCTTTAGACAACTGATTTACTGACTATCAAAGCCCATTAATTAAATGTGCTCTGTTTCAAATTAAATCTTTAATTTGCTACCACTTTAGCAAGCCCAGATGTAATATTAGGCTAGAAAAATAAGAAACAGTATGAACAAAAGAAAGGAAGGATACCACAATCATAAAGAATGAGAAAACTTCTGAGCCAGACTACAAGATTCTGCAGGGGAAAGAACTATTTCACTATGACAACCTGGGATATTTTTATTGAGATAGTTGGTAGGTTATACATAAACATTTTCCAGAATCTGGAGGTTGAGAGTAAAGTATAAGAACATGTGTAGGAGTTGAGAGACATTTCAAATTGGATTTTCATCCTCATTTTTAAGCTTTTCCTTGCAATCAACAAATTGCCAAATCCTGTTTTATAAGAGCAAAAGGGCAAAAGTAATTTCTATATCCCATAATTATATATACATGTTATATTTCAGCCCACTCCTCAACCTCCAGGGAAGGGGGGGGGCCTGAAGGTTAAGTTAATTACCAATGGCCAATGATTTAGTCAATTATGCCTATGTAATGAAGCCTTCACAAAAACCCATAAGGACAGGACTCAGAGAGCTTCCACATGATAGAAGCCTTCACAAAAACCCATAAGGACAGGACTCAGAGAGCTTCCACATGATAGAAGCCTTCACAAAAACCCATAAGGACAGGACTCAGAGAGCTTCCACATGATAGAAGCCTTCACAAAAACCCATAAGGACAGGACTCAGAGAGCTTCCACATGATAGAAGCCTTCACAAAAACCCATAAGGACAGGACTCAGAGAGCTTCCACATGATAGAAGCCTTCACAAAAACCCATAAGGACAGGACTCAGAGAGCTTCCACATGATAGAAGCCTTCACAAAAACCCATAAGGACAGGACTCAGAGAGCTTCCACATGATAGAAGCCTTCACAAAAACCCATAAGGACAGGGTTCACAGAGCTTCCATATGATAGGGTTTAGAGAGCTTCCATAGCTGAATATGTGGAGGTGCCTGGCGGGTAGCACCCAGAGAGGTCATGGAAACTCTGTGCCCCTTCTCCTATACTTCACCCTCTTCATCTCTTCTTATGTAACTTTCGTAATATTCTTTGTAATAAACTAGTAAATGTAGTTTAATTGTTTCCCTGAGTTCTGTGAATCACTTTAGCAAATTAATCAACCCCAAAGAGGAGATTGTGGGAACCCCAACTTGAAGCCAGTAGATCAGAAGTTCCAGAGGCCTGGACTTCCTAATGGTGACTGAATTGGGGGCAGTCTTGGGGACGGAGCCCTCAACCTATGGGATATGACACTGCTTCTATTTATGGTGGAAAGTGGCAGGCAGCCAATAGGTATAAGCAGATCACATGGTGAGAAGAAGCAAGAGAGAGAGAGAGAGAGAGAGAGAGAGAAAGTGCCAGGGTCTTTTAAACAATCAGCTCTTGTGGGAACTAACAAGCAGAACTCACTCATTACCCCCACCCTGCAGGGACAGCATTAATCCATACATGAGGGATCTGCCCCCATGACCCAAAGCGCTGTGGACTATACTAACATTTATAAAGCAAATGTATTTCACAGGGCCTAGCTTCCAAAGCCCTGTAGTTTCAGGTGTAACCTAACTTCTTAAAATTACATATGAAAATGTTAAGCTTGCAAAAGACAGGAAACTTTCCCAGGCTAAAGTTTCTGTTGTAGATAAAGAATTATAACACAGCAAAATTGTTGGCTCAAGGACAGATGCCCTTGGAGCAGGTTAACTTAAAGTTACTTCATTGTTATGAAAACATACTGAGGTAATTGCTGTAGGAAAAGACAGTATTTGCTAAGAACAAGCTTTTACTGGTGGATCTACATAACCTTTTACAAATTGCATTATGGAATGTCACTTTGTTATTTCACTGATGTTACCAGCCTCTATTGTTAAACTATACTTAGATCTACATAACCTTTTACAAATTGCATTATGGAATGTCACTTTGTTATTTCACTGATGTTACCAGCCTCTATTGTTAAACTATACTTAGCCATAACTCCACCTATGTTCCTGTTCTGTAACTTTCTGACCCAGAGAATAAATACTGAGAAAGAACCCCAGTTCAGGGTTATTTTTCCAAGAAGGAGGAATGCCTCTGTCTTGATGGTTCCTGGAAAACTAACCCCTTTGGGGCTTCTCACTGCTCAGAAGAAATGGGCTTTGAGTAATCCTTTTTGCATCTCCGTCACCCAGGGGAAGAGAGGTGACAAACTGCTCCCAACATTACCAACTAGAGAATCAGATTTCCACATGAGTTTTATGGGGGCAACACATCCAAACTCTATCACAGTGCATTTGTAGTCATTCTCAGCCATGTGCAGAATAGTGAAAAATTTGAGTTGCCCAACGTGTGTTCTCAGCTGAGGATGAAGGCAACTCTGCCTTCTCGTTTGCACTCTCATATTGTAAACAAGTGTCCTTTTCACAGTCTATTTAGCACCACATTTTTCACATTGTTGTGCTTTTTGTTGATTTTTGCTATTTAAAATGGTCCCTAGGTGTAGTGCTGTCTACTGTTTCTAAGTGCAAGAAGACTGTGATGTACCTCTGAGAAAATTCATGTGTTAGATAAGCCATGTTCAGGCATGAGCTACAGTGCTGTTGTCTGTGAGTTCAATTTTAATGAATCAACAATATATATTAAATAAGTTGTCTCTAAACAGAAATACACATAAAACAAGGTTACGTATTAATCAGTTGATGAAAATTTGTGACCAGAGGCTCACAGGAACCTACCCCTGTATTTCCCTTAGGCACAATGGCTCAGTATTCACTGCAGTAACTCATTGCTCACATCAACCTTACAGAACATAACTATTGCAAATAACAAGAATCATCTATATACTGTGGGAAAAAGTGTTTTTCACATACATCTGATTTCCTTATTTACACAAGAAAAAAAGCCTTCCCAAGAAATTACAGGGGTCTGCACTTATCCACGGTAGACACTTTCCAAGATTCCCAGTGGATGTACCAAACCCTATATATACGATGCACAAATTTCTTTTTCCTTCTTCACAATTTCACAAGTAGAAGATTCATTCTTACTGTAGATCTTAGCAACTTCAGCATACAATTTTTTTCTTTCCTTATTAAGTCAAGAACTCTCACCTTTACACTTAAAGTCAGCACTTTATAGCTTCTCTTTGCCATTTCTGAACTGTCAGCATCACTACTCTTGCACTTTGGGGCCATAATTAAGTAAAATAAGTGTTAGTCAAACACAAGCACTGCAACACCGAGACAGTCGGTCTAATAACAGAGATGGCTGCTAACTGACTAATGAGGCCGGTAGCATGTACACTGGATATGCTGGACAAAGGGATGATTCATGCTCATAGGCAGGAGAGAGTTGGTTGACTGGAGATTTTATAATGCTACTAAGAACAGGGCACAGTTCAAAACTTATGAACGGTTTATTTCTGGAATTTTCCATGTAATAGTTTCAGACTGCAGTTGACCACTGGTAACTAAAACAGCGCAAAGTGAAACCGCAGAGAGGGGGACAGACTACCGTTGCTTTCCAAAAGAGCCTATCGGCTCAGTGGCCCTGCCGTCTAGCATCCTTTCCCCCTCTTTTCTCTTCATTCCATTCTTCCTCCGTTCTCTCTCTTTTCTCTTTGTCCCTTGGAGGGATTTCCACTTAAATGTTTTACAAGAATCTACACTCCCATACCAGATTTGATAGAGGTGGACACACAAGACACACAGACTTGTAAAATTTAAGTCTGTGGATGTGTTTCCACTAAACTAATTGCAAAAATCTGTCGCACCACAATTCCATGGGAACCCAGAGAAGAGTATTTCCTTAGCTTGGGCATTCATCTTTCGAATCTCCCCAAGTACATTATAAAAATACCCTAAAATAATATTTTTTTTTCTTCTTAGTTTTCATACAGTAACCGCACTGCAGTCGCCCATAGACCTAAAGGTGTCCAGTCCTTGGTTTCTTTCTTTCTGTCTCTTTAAGAGGCAGGGCGGGTGTTTTGCCCTATTCCGAAATGGCTGCCCATGCTTCACACGCTCTGCGCATGCTCCTTGAGCGCAAATCAGAGTTAAGGCGATTCAGGGACTCCGACCGCGCAAGATGGAGATTTCGTCGGCGGCGAGACTGCACGTCCCAGCATGCCTTGCACCCGCGCCTGGAGTCGGGACTTGGAGTGATGGAGTTCCCCTGGCGCTTTAGGCCGCGGAGTCGGTTGTAGAGGTTGAGGTGGAGCCCGCGGTGGGGGAAGATGGAAGCGTGGCGCTGTGTGAGGAGGGGCTACGGCCGCTGTGTGATGGGGAGAGGCCGGTGAGTAGGAATGAGTGCCCGCAGGGAGGAGGGAGGGAGGGGCGGGCGGCCTGGGGGCGGGGGCGAGCGGCTGGGATTCACCCGGGGCGGGGCGGGGCCGGGCCCGGCGGGCCTGGGGGAGGAAGGAGGAGGAAGAGGGTCTGGGCGATGGTACGGCGCGGACGATCATCCGGAGACCCTGAGGGATAGGTAAACCCGGCGTGCAGCCGGCGGGACGCTGGGTCGTCGAGGACCGGGGCCCCGGTGCGGAGCTTGAAGGCCGCCGGCCAGGCTTGTGCCTGCCCGACCCTGCTTGGCCTTGGAGCCTCGGCCTCCTCGCCAGACTCCGCAGACACATCCCCGAAGCTGACCGTCCGCGGAGAGGCCGCCTGTCTGCTGCGGTTCCCCGCGGGCCTGCCCCTGGGGAGGCGCGCGCGTCGCACACAAGCTCAAGGGGGTTTTGTTGGTGTGGTAGTGTCAAACTTCGTTCACCAACCAGCCTTTACGCTTGTATACCAACCAGCCTTTACGATTATTGCCAGATTCTCGTTCCACCTGTATTATTTACTGGCTATTTCTTTAAATTGACTCACTTTTAAAAACACTTAAATGGGTGCGGTTCATATTAATGTCGCCCTTAGCCTTGTGGGGAAATCTTAGGTTTGATGTTTTTTCCCTAATAAACTTTAAATACATAGATATTAAAAATAAAAAAGTTTAATTGTGTACTATATAAACCCGATTGGTGTACCACTCATGGGAAGCACAGCACTATATGATTGATTACATAAATGATGGGGATCTGGTTTTAACTCCCATAGGCCCGAGACTTGATGGCAATTCATTTAGTTCAACAGTGTTTCCTGAGTACCCGCTGTGTGCCCGGCACTGTGCTAGGCAGTTCTTAAGAGACTGGAATTGAAATTAGTAACAAGGCTCTGGTCCTGAAGGGGCTCAGTGTCTTAAAAGAAAAAGACATCTCTTTAAATAACTACAAGTAAAATAAGTGAAGCACAAATATTATATTTCGGTACTCTTATTAGGATAGAAAATGCACGGACCAAGTGCCCAAGTCCCTATGGCTTTCTCAATTGTCACAAATCAGGATAGAGGGCCCATGTCATGCGTTTAGAGATTTACAATTAATTTGATTTTAGAGAACAATTCAAGAATACATAAACCGGAAATATATATATTAAAAAATTTAACTGCCGTTGAAATGAAAAAACAACATATAAAGGTCAAATAACAATACAATTTGAGCAAAATTCCCTTAGAGATAGAAGTGGACATTTTTGAGATTGTGTTAGAAATGGACCTATAATGAATTCTGAAGAAAAGGATAGAAGTCCTCTGAATCCAAACGTTTTGCCAAAATAGTAAGAAGATGGTGCTTAAGTTGCAGTTTTTCTTGAGCACCGGAGAGCAATATATCTATTAAAAATAATTTTAGCAGTATTTTGGAGATATTTTGGATGACAGGTTAAATTGATGCTGTTGAGTTTGAAGTGTTGTCAATTCCTAGTAAGTAATCTCTAGCCTCTTTTATTTTCCCCAAGGAGAAGCATGCTTTAAAAAAAATGGAAAAAGTAAATCATCCACCCACTGATTAACAAGGGAAATAGTTTTGTGAAGTTGTGATAGGCTTATGTTTTTTTAGATATTCACCTGTTTGGAAAAATCTGACCTTGGTATAAAAAACTGCTTAGGAACTTTTTTTACTCCAAACCCAAATTGGAGGAGAGATTCACTTTAATTGTAGTCTGGTATGTGTTCCATATTTGATTTAAGTATTATGTTTGCTGTGGATTCTATTTTTTCATTGAGTTTTATTAGGTGTTAGAAAGCTACTCTGAATATCAGTTTGATGTTCGATTCATCTCTCAGTTGAACTGTGGACTTTTTGAGGCATATGTGGTGTTTTGGGAGTGTGCATGGCATTCTGTGTTATGTATGTTAAGTAGAATTCTGTTCATGATTGTTTCGGGAGAGAATATTGAGATATTGATGCTAATAGTTAAAAATCTTGGGTGTTTTTCTTCTCATCCTTCACAGATTTAGAAGTCACATTTTGACTATTAGGCATTATCTTCTCTTGACGAAATAGATTTAGATTTCGTGTACTATAGCTGAACAAAAAGTGGTACCTCAAGGAGTGTATTTATTTCTTTTAGATACCCCATGTTTTCCCATCACCCGAAGAGTCTGAGCAGAGATTGGAGTACACCGTGGGAGAATCTGCAAAGGTGTTGCTGGAACAGACATATTTCTAGTTGTATGAGGTGGCCTGGACATTATTCTCGTGCTCCTTACCCATACTTCAGTAGTAGGCATTTTTCACTAAACTGGAGGCCACCTTGTTTGTTTGAGTCTAGAACACAGTTTCAGTACAGTAACTGGAGACCTGACAACCTGAGCCAGACATCTTTGATTCATCTCTCTAGTTACGTCATGAGCTCTGAGGGAGATGAGCCTTCATCAAAACGAAGAAAACACCAAGGTAAAGGTGTAGAGATAGACATAAATGATGGACTTAGTTGAAACTTTCATATCTAATCCTTAAAACCTCCTGTAGGTTTTAGAGGTGTGTGGTGGTTATTTTTAGCCGGTAGTTTTCTGTTAGGAAAAGTAAATTCTTTTTTAAATGAAGTCTTTATTTTTATCTTCAACTGTGTATTTCTGGCTGTAAGAACAGAAGTGACTCTACAAAAAGAATAAAGTTGGAAAAGAATGGGGAAATAGATTAAAACAGTAAGTTTAACTTAAGAATAACTTTTAAGTCAATGTTTTTGAAACAAAGGTCCTTAGATGTCTTAGAGATTGGTGATGTATTCTTGGAAGTTCACAGGTCTAAAAGAATTTAATTGTGTTTTCATTTTTAATGCTAACTTTTTCATATAAGAGAAAAGGACTCTTTGAAATCGAAACAATCATAAATGAAAGATTTTCTTATAGAATAAGATTTTAGCTTATTAACTTTGTATTTCTCAAATTGGGATCTATAGTTAAAATCCTGAGAGTCTGTAGGAAATATCTTAGAAAAGGAGCTACATCTTACTCAACTTTAAGAAACAGGTTTTTTAAAAATGTTGATTACTTCTATTTTTTTATGTTCTTTTTACTCTAAACAATTCATTCGATTCCCTCTGTGCCACTAGCCCTGCCCCTATCCCCATCTCCTGAAAGTATAAATGAGGTATCTAAGTAGAATTTGGAATTGTCTTTCTTTTTTTTTTTTTTTTCCTTTTTGTCTTTTTCCGTGTCCGGCAACGGATCGCAACCCTCAGTGTCGCCCCCGCACCGGACCGGGACCAGCAACGGGATCGCAACCCTCGGTGTTGCTCCCGCGCCTCACTCAGCCAGTGAGCGGGAACCAGTCTGTATGTGGGATCCGAACCCTCGGCGGGACCGCCACCACGCTTCCCAAGCGGCGCACTATAGCAGTGCACCACCGGGCCGGCCCCTGGAATTGTCTTTCTTATTGAACTGTAGTTTTCAGTGAAAATAATTTCTCAGAAGATACTTGAGAGTAGGCTGTGTGAGTGTTAATGTGTAAGGAGCTGATGTATAAGTTTGTCAAAGGAAGACATTCAGAGTGAGTCTTATTGAAGTCAGAGCAAGAAGAGTTAATTAGTTAATGCTCTTTGGGTTCCTTCTGCCTTGTTACTAGAAAGTAATCTACAGGCTTCAACTGGGTTTCAGTCGGAGTTGTTAAACTAATATTCAAATAAGTGTATAATTTATTGCTACACAGTTACAAAGAACCCAGTTAGAAAAAAAACAAACACGTATAAGTAGAAATTCTAAGCACCCAAAAGTGAAAATCAATTTGTGTAATATTTTACCACAGCATATGGAGATAAACAAGAAATACTTGTTTGAATGAATGAAAGGTGTATTTAGAGGCATTAAAATTACGTTCCTAAGAACAACCCATGATCTACAATAATCTAGGGCTGTATGATGACGTCCGATTGCTTTTCATTCATATATTCGTTGTTCATCAGGTCAGCACACTCCTCTTTTGTTCAGCCTCTTATAAATCTGTTATGTTCTCAGATGGCATAGTGATATAAGCATGGACTTAGGAACCACTCCTGCTCTCATTTCTGTTCTACCACTAACTGTGTGAACTTGGACAGGTTACTTAACTTCTTTGTCCCTTGGTTTCCTAATGTAAAATAGTGCCTACTCTGAAAGTGTTGAAGATGAAATGAGATATGTCAAAGTGCCTAACACACTGTCGGCTTCATAGTAGGTACTCAGAAGCTTGTGGTAGTGTTTTCCCTTTAGTGGATGGGAAGTGACATTTACATACTGATGAGCCTTGACTGCAACCTGACTCTTTATGTGTCCATTCTTCCTAGGTATTATGAATAAGGAAAATGCTCTTCGTTAAGCCATGTTTGTGACTTCTGATATTTCACTAATACTTTTCAATCAAGAGAACAGCATTGCTAACTTGCCTATCACTTTAAAGTGGTATTTGAAGGATTGTGTGACACAATTATGACTTTTTAATTAGGCACCCTAAAAACCCGATCAGGCGTATTGCTTACTTTCTTTGATTCATCTGTCTTCTCTGCTGTGAACACCTTGTTCCTCCTGACATGGAAGGTATATAAGCTTTTGTAGTGTGCATTTATGTTGTGAAGTATATGAAGGCCAAAGGCTGTCCACTCAATCAGTGGTTTTCAAATTGTCTTCCATGGAACCCTAGCATTTGAACACATTTCTGTAAGTTTTTTAAAAGCCAATATGGTCAGGATAAAATGTGTGTTTACCGCATCATCCCAGCCCCAGTCCCAACATGCCAAAGATTGGTATGAAAAGTAATGCTGAAGGGTTCTACAAGCTATAGAAGTTTGAAAGCCACTGTATTAATAGATAATCCAATGGTCCTGGTTATTTAAAAAGTGGAATTGCAAAAAGAGTTGGTTTACAAACTCTTTAATTACCAGAACTATAAAAATCTTAATGTATTTATATGCCATTACATGTACATATTTCATAAGGAAATATGAGTTTTTTAGACACTCATCTTTTATATTTTAATATGGCAGTGACACCAGGGTAGTGCTTAATTTATAACTTACATTTTGTTTGCATGGCTAGAGCTGTTTCCATCTTATATACATATGACTTTGATTTGTGGCTTAAACTGTCATAGACAGTCCTCAATTTATTAATGAATTGTGTTCTGAAAACTTGATCAGATCTGTTTACCTCATAGAAACTATGAATCTCAGTGTCTCCGCAGAGCTGGTACAATTAACCCTAATTCTGAGCTTTTGGGGGTAGGATTTTTTTTTTGTTGTTGTCTTTTACTGTGTCTGGCAACGGATCGCAACCCTCAGTGTCGCCCCCGTACCGGACCGGGACCGGCAACGGGATCGCAACCCTCGGTGTTGCTCCCGCGCCTCGCTTAGCCAGTGAGCGGGAACTGGTCCGTATGTGGGATCCGAACCCTCGGTGGGAGCGCCGCCACGCTTCCACCGGGCCGGCCCCAGGATTTTTTTTTTTTGCAGCTGGCCAGTAAAGGGATCCGAACCCTTGACCTTGGTGTATTAGCACTATACTTTAACCAAGTGAGCTAACTGTCCAGCCTAGGATTCTCAATATTCGGTGAAGGATAGTTTCCTTCTCTTACCTAGGCATAGGACAAGCTCTAGGCAAAATTCTATAATAGTTGAAGACTTTTGTTTAGTTTGGTTTTGTTTCTTTCCACCTTTTTTTCTTTACCCTTCTCCTAGTACTTCATGATATCTTACATGTCCAACTCCTTTGTTCCACTCAGACCTCACTAGTCATAAAAACTATCTTTCTGGGCCGGCCCGGTGGTGCACTGGATAGTGCGCCGCTTGGGAAGCGCGGCGGCGCTCCCGCCCGAGGGTTCGGATCCCACATACAGACCGGCCGCTCACTGGCTGAGCGAGGCACGGGAGCAGCACTGAGGGTTGCGATCCTGTTGCCGGTCCCTGGTCCGGTGCGGGGGCAACACTGAGGGTTGCAATCCGTTGCCGGACACGGAAAAAGACAAAAAGACCAAAAAAAAAAAAAAAAACTATCTTTCTCTTTTATCCTTTGGTCAAAATTTCTATTCCCTTAATGGAGCAGATATCAGCTACTTATGTATTGAGGAAAGTAATCTGATTAAACTAATTTGCCAGAAGGTATTTTAAAATTATTACTTCATTGGCATTTTGATATAGCATATTGATTTTTTTTTTTTGTCCATTTTGAGACCGGCCACACCACGCTCAGCCAGTGAGCGCTGTGAGCGCACTGGTCATCCCTATATAGGATCCAACCTGCGGCGGGAGCGCTGCTGCGCTCCCAGCGCCGCACTCTCCCGAGTGTGCCACGGGCTCGGCCCTTGATTGTAAATATATTGTCATTGTAGAAGATTTGGAAAAATCGTTCATAATCCTACCATTCAAAGATAACTACTATTGGGCCGGCCCAGTGGCACACTGGAGAGTGCGCCGGCGCTCACCGAGGGTTTGGATCCCATGTGGAGACCGGTTCCCGCTCACTGGCTGAGTGCGGTGCGGGCGCAGCACCGAGGGTTGCGATCCCGTTACCGGTCAGTAAAAAAGACCAAAAAAGGGAAAAAAAAAAAAAAAGATAACTACTATTGAAAATACTGGTATATTTCCTTTTAGTCGTTTTTTTTTCACCCCATATATAAGTGTATAGAATATTTAAACCTCAATTTAATTTTTAATTGGTGGTATTTTAGGCATTGTAATCCAGTGAAGTGAAAACCTTCATGCAGGATAGAGGGGGATATTCTACGGCTGAGAGTTTTCATATAATCTAATCATGCTTGGGAGCCCATCTCCAAATCTATTTTCCCATGTTTTTCTCATTTCTTGTTTACCCCTTCTTCCTTTGAGCACATAGATTCTCTAAAAGTTTCACATTTTTCTTCATGGTTTCCATGGCAGTAAGTATCCTCTTTAATGATGGGGTGAGGGAGACAAGATCAAAGGTAAATACACACATGCGCAGTGGTCATTTCTAAGTAGAGGATTAGCTTTAATGGCAAAATTTCATGCTTCTCGATTTTCTTTTCATCAGTTTTGCAGAGTACATGATGTCTTTACCGCATATAAACTATGACACATTCCTGGTTGTTGCAGGCTAGGTTTGTCAACCAGCCTTTATCATTTACTAGCATCCTATAACTGTGTGACATTTAACTTTTGCTTTGGTCTGCATTAAAAAGATTTCTTTTATTTGCATTGTTCTACTTTAGTATTTTAGCACTAAATGCTGCTTTCGTATATTGCCATTATGTACCCTTCATTTACATGTAAAACCAGAATTCTGAACTGAAAGTTGTTTCTGGAACTTATGTGATGATTTTATCTTACTAATAGGGAATAAAATACAATGTGAAGTCATCTTATTGAAAACCAAACTGTGATGTACACATATATTATGGTTATAAAGTTTCTGAGCATGTCTGTGGCAGAGCTACTTCTTAACCACAGAGAAGTGAGAAACTACAACTCGTGTTTCGTCTTAGCTTTATTAGCATATTCACTCGGCCTCCAGATGACTTGCTGGATCCTTTTAAATCTGTTTTATACCTCCTGGTCAATCAATACATCATTTTATTGCCTTTGTAGTCAGTTCGATGACAACTTCTGGTTATTCGGTGCTATGTTGCAACTTCCTACAAAAAACCATTCTATTCATTGTCTATGGGAATTTTTTAAAGGCAAAAAAATACATAGGAAGATATACGGTCAGTTTTTGATTAATTTTTTATATTTTCAATATATTTTAACAGGCACAATAAAACGGAATTGGGAATATATATGTAACCATAATAAAGAAAAAACGAAGATCCTAGGAGACAAAAACGTTGACCCCAAATGTGAAGACAATGAGAACAACTTTGACTTTTCAGTGATGTCCTATAATATACTTTCACAAGATTTGTTGGAAGATAATTCACACCTTTATAAACACTGCCAGAGGCCAGTATTACACTGGAGTTTTAGGTTTCCAAATATTCTGAAAGAAATTAAACACTTTGATGCAGATGTAAGTGTAAAATATTATCAAAATTCTTCACACAAGAAAAAGGTTAAATGTTTCATTTGAGCATTTGCGAACTAAATGATTTTAACCATTTGTGGGGTAAGAAGGGAAGGTGTTTAAGGATAGTGATGGAATAGTTCTTAGCAGGGTTATCTTGGCTTCTGGAGAATCATTTGTTAATGGTTGTTGGTATAAATAGTCATCTATCTTTTCAAAAAGTATTCAAAAGTTTTAAGTATCAGTCTGTCCTGAGATGGACTGGTAACATTAAATATTCAATAAATATTTCTCTTGATTTGAAATTCTGATAATTCATGCAAAAATTTAAACTAGATGATGGCATTCAAAGAAATCAGCCTCTTAGGAAAGGACCTGAAAGATTAGAATTAATGAACATGTAAATTCTGGAAAAATACCCTGACATGTAAAGTAAAAATTTTGGATAGTAAGAGCTCCATGTGATTAAAGGCCAGGGTTTTGCGGTTGATCAAATTAAGAAACATTAATTTGGTAGATCTATAAATAACAAGAAAAAGGATTGTAAATCTTTTATTTCAACTCTCATGAGGTTTGAAATTTTAAAATCCTATTTTTAAAGGTGAGAGTACCAGAAAATTTATATTTGCATCTCTGTATTTTAATTCATGTCATTTTTTTCTTCTAAGGTACTTTGTTTGCAAGAAGTTCAAGAAGATCATTATGGAACAGAGATCAGGCCAAGTTTGGAATCATTGGGTACAATGTAACTTTTATTTTAGCCAAATTTACTTTTGAAGATTTGTGTGTTATTAAAGCATAACTTGCTAACAAAGATGTGTGGTGTATTTGGCTAAAAATCTTAATATTTCAAAAGGTCAGGAAAAAATTAAAGTATTCAGGTAGGGACTTTTATTTGTTAAATAATTTGAATTCAAATGGAAAGGTATATAAGAATCTCTTAATAGCTCCCTTTCCCTGTCATTGCTTTGCCCACCAGTAGACCTCTAAGATGCTGAGCTCCATGGGATCAGGGACCATTCTGTCTAGTTCATCATTATAACACCAGTGTCTACCAGTGCCTAATGGATAGAAGCTAAAAACCTGTTTGATGAATAAATAGAAACAGGTCATCTGTGATCACATAAATTTGAGAAACGTGCCTGCTTTGCATTCCATTCATTCAGCAAATTTTTTTGAGAGCTCACTATATACCATGCAATGTTCTAGACAGTGAGGATATAGCATTGGACAAAATGCTTAAAAAGTCTTCTCCTTTGTGGAATATACATTCAAGTGGAGAAAGGCCAACTTAATAAATTGTGTAGTATATAGTAAGTAGGGTATTAAGTAACGATAATTTTCTGGAGAAGAGCAGGAAAGTGGAAAGGGGAAGGCTTCAGTTTTAAACAAAATGATCAGATAGGTTGACATTTGAGCAAAGACTTGGAGGAGGTAAAGGAACAAGCCATGCCTAGAGCATTGCAGGTAGAAGAAACGGCAAGGGAAAGGCCCTGAGGTTGGAGTGTTTTGAGGCAAGTGAGGAGTCCAGTGTGGTTGGTGGAGTCAGGTGGCAAGAGCTACAGGCAAAAAGAGCAGAGATATGAGGCGGGGGGTAATTATAAGGCCTTGATGTCATTGTTACGGCTTTGTTTTACTAGGGTGGAAGTGGGAGAGTGGTAATGCACGTTAGCATATTAAGGACTTAAGTCTGTCAGTAAAGAGCCTATCAGACCCAGTCCCAAACTTTTTTGATTCCAATACTTAACATCCTACATTACTAATGTTTTGTAGAATACACTTTGGTAAACATTGTTCAGAAATATTAGGAGAGCTAATATTTTTGTGTTTTTGACATATATGTGTGTATATATTTGCATATATGTGTGTGTGTGTATATGTGTATATATAAAGTCCCTTGTTTTAAATTCATTTTTTTCTTGTAGGTTATCACTGTGAATATAAGATGCGAACAGGAAGGAAACCTGATGGCTGTGCCATTTGCTTCAAACATTCCAAATTTTCCCTTATATCAGTGAACCCAGTGGAATTCTACCGACCTGATATTCCTTTGTTGGACAGAGACAATGTTGGATTAGTTTTACTCTTGCAGCCCAAAAGTCCATGTGCTGCCTTTCCTGTGATCTGTATAGCTAATACACATCTGTTGTATAATCCAAGGCGAGGTGATATTAAGCTGACCCAATTGGCAATGCTACTGGCAGAGATTTCCAGTGTTGCCCATCAGAAAGATGGCAGCTTCTGTCCTATTGTTATGTGTGGTGACTTTAATTCTGTTCCTGGTTCTCCACTCTATAGTTTCATAAAGGAAGGAAAATTGAATTATAAAGGACTTGCCATAGGAAAGGTAAGTGTTTGCTTCATCGTTGTTAGGGAGGTGGCCTCAGGTGCTCTGTTGTAATGTAAGGATAGTCATCACATGGCTGTTTGAAAGCCTTACATATCCAGTACCTCACTTTACCAAGCTGTAGTGATTTTCCACAAATAGGAATAAGTAATTATATTCACTTGGTTGAATTTCATCTTTTCCATCTATCTGTGGCAACATACTGTTGGGAGGAATTAACAGGCAGCAAAAAGCCAAAATGAGAGAAGAAAAATAAAATTGACAGACATGGATACCTCACAGATAAGGAACTGCCTCTACAATGTGGCAGTAAAGAATTTTGAATGCTGTATGTGGGCAATCTGGTTGGAAAAACAGTAATTTAATATTATATAAGCTTTTTTTTTTAATGTGATAAATATTTTAATCCTTTAGCATAGTATAATTTATCTCATGTTATTTTTATTGTGGTTTCTTCTGCTTACTTTAGATCTTTTGATTTTCGGTATGCTTAACCAACATCTCCACCACTGGAATTTTGAGTGATAGTTGAAATTTCTTAGTTGATGTCTCTTAGTATCTGATATAACAGGAATTATAGTGCAGCTAGTGAAAAAGGAGGGGGGCACTATTTGTCCAAAACTATATCATTTGAATGTCCAAATTAGGGAAAAGTATGTATAGGAAAAGATTGTCATTTTCATGTAAATGATAAGTGCTTTCTGAACTGTATTTGAATAAGATTTTATAAGCACAAAAGTATAATGCGTAAAGGGTAATACTTACCATTCTTGGGTTACCTCTTATTTAAGACAAGCTTTTCAATACATAAACTATTGAAAATCTATTCACTTAAGGTACCTGTTGAAATTTTGTTTAGGTATCTGGCCAGGAACAGTCTTCACGGGGACAAAGAATTTTATCTATTCCAATTTGGCCCCCAAACCTAGGTATCTCACAGAACTGTGTGTATGAGGTACAGCAGGTACCAAAAGTAGAAAAGACAGGTAAGTATTTGCAATACATTTTGGCAGTCTGCTGGGTAATAGTGTTCCTTTGGAAGACAATAAACTAAATTTGTCAAGGGTAACAGTCTCATGGATGAGTATTCATATATATAAATATATAGTTATTTCTCATTCCTATTTTTTTACAAAGAGCTCTAAATTTACCTTTTTTAAGGTGAACTCCCAAAATTATTTGTGCATGAATTATTTGCATGTTGCTTTGGAATTGTTTGCATTTTATATTTCCTAATTTGGGAGACCATCAAAGCATATAGATTCCAGGATGAAACGTTTAACTAGGCAACTATCTAAACTAGATATGGCTTAAATATTGTTTCTAGAGTAAGAGGGGACTGTACTAAGGCAAACTAGAACAAAACAACATATTAAGAGTACTGATATATTTATTTCTGTTTTTATAGACAGTGATCTGACACAAACAGAGCTGGAAAAAACAGAGGTCCTAGTGACAGCTGAAAAGTGAGTTCTGAAAAGCAACAGTAGACATTTGCTGACTTCAGTGTAATAAAAAATCATTGCTCCAAAATGATGGTATCCCGCGCTGGCTTTTAAGGCAGATAGACCTGAGTTCCAATCCTGATTCTGCTTTTTTTTTTTTTTTTCAAAGATGACCGGTAAGGGGATCTCAACCCTTGGCTTGGTGTTGTCAGCACCATGCTCAGCCAGTGAGCCAACCAGCCATCCCTATATAGGATCCAAACCCGTGGCCTTGGTGTTATCAGAACCACACTCTCCCGAGTGAGCCATGGGCTGGCCCCTGCTACTTTTTCACTGTGTGATTTTGAGCAAGAAACTTAACATTTCTGAGGTTCAGTTTCCTTAGCTGTAATTTGGGGGCTGTGAGAATTAGATGAGACAAAGCATATAAAGCACAATGTTTGATACATAGTTAATGCCTGGGCAGTGTCATGAAAGGAAACAGCACATGTTACAAAAGGACCAGCTTAAGCACTCTTTGAAATTTATTGCCATTACATGTTTAAACAAAGGTCAAGATCACAGAAAAATATCTTTCAGATTTCAGGAGGATCGGTAGTTGTTTTTGACTTACTAGATCTCAAAAAAATCTATAGGAGAACTGATCCAAAAAAGAATATGCCAGTAGAAAGATGATCATTTTTATTTATCTTGTAAACTGTAGGAAAAGGTCACCAGAAGGACAAGTGAAGATGCCTGGGTTCCTTACTAAAGAAACATGAATGTTTGGGGCTGTGTGTTTGTACAGCAGGACAGAGACTTAAATCGTTCTTTTTGGGAGCTTCTTGAAATGGGTTGATGGTTTTATGTTATGGCACTTTTATAATTTTTGTTTTAACATTTAAATTTAGGAGCCAAATCGGAAACATCTCTCATTCATTTTATCTGCTTTCTTCTCAATTTTATTTTGTATACCTTGTCTTGAGAAAATATTATCTCATAAATAAGAACCTGGAAAGAAGGAAGCAATTTTTAAAATTTTTTAAATGAATATTTAGAAATTTATGACTTAAACCTTCAAATGCAGTAAAAAACCTTTCTGAATAATATTAATAAAGAAATACTTAGTTTTGAGTAATTCTGGAAATCTTTTTATGGTAAAATGAGATATAAGAAAAGATACTTTGAGTATCTTTATTTTATTTTATTTATTTATTTATTTTTTGTCTTTTGTCTTTTTTCCATGTCTGGCAACGGATCACAACCCTCAGTGTTGCCCCCGTACCAGACCGGGGACCGGCAACGGGATTGCAATCCTCGGTGTTGCTCCCACGCCTCGCTCAGCCAGTGAGCGGGAACCGGTCTGTATGTGGGATCCGAACCCTCAGGCGGGAGCGCCGTCGCGCTTCCCAAGCGGCGCACTATCCAGTGCGCCACCGGGCCGGCCCGTATCTTTATAAATACAGTGTGTTTATATGCATAGCTTATATCTGTAAACTGAAAAATTGGTAGTAAGATAATAGTTTGCAGGAGACCCGTTTGCATTTAATAATATTGTAAATTCATGATGTGTTACTAGAAAGTGATCTTTAAACAGTTTGCCATTAACATCATATGTATTTGTAGTATGGAGTGAATGTCAGTCATTATAGAAACTGTTTTAAGATGCACTATAAAATTATTTCACATGTTATAACAAGAATAATCAGGGAAATATGGCCCCTCTGACATCAAAAGTCTGGGGAATTCCAAATAGCATTCCTGAAGGCCACTTTGATTTTCTTTCTTAAAAGCACAACAAAAAGCTTATAAGTTGTTTTAGAATACGTTGTTCATTAGTAAGTGGAAATCCTCAAACATGTTATAAATAATTTAAAAATCACATAAATTTTGTAATTATTGAGCTTTTTTATCCCCGTGTGTTACAGCCTTGTTAATGGGCTTTGGATATCACTGCATGAATAAATGAATGCTGAATTAAGACATGATCTATTTAAATAAAGCTTGTCCTAATGTCTGATCTTAGTCTAGAAATTAAATGAAAAAGTACTTTAAATAGAAGTTTTATAGAAATCGTGAAAAACTTGATGGATGCTAAACATTTTTTCTTTTCAATTTAGATTATCTTCAAATTTACAGCACCATTTCAGCTTGTCATCTGTTTATTCACATTACTTTCCTGACACTGGAATTCCAGAAGTGACCACCTGTCATTCCCGAAGTGCCATAACTGTGGACTATATTTTCTACTCTGCAGAAAAGGAAGATGTTGCTGAGCACCCAGGTAAAGAATACATGTAATCTTAAATTCTAGAGAGCACAGCAGCTAAAACCTCAAGGCTGAAGTTGAGAAAGTTAGCCAAACGTCTAGGTGAAGTTCTAGATTTCAAAGTTAAAAACATTTTTAAATAGATTGGAAATATATTTGAATAAATCAGTTAATTACCTGCATATGATGAGGGAGGCAATAAAACACACCAAAGCAAGTTATTACCAAAGAATTATATCCTCGTTCCACCCTCCAGTTTCAGTCAGCTTCTGAGTTTTAGGTCTTTCATATTGCTCTGTTTTTACTTGCCATAAATTTACTGTTTTTCCTATGACAGCAGCTGAATATACTCATTAACCATCAACATATAGTTTTCTACTTAAATTTTACTAAGGCATGCTGCCTTTGTTGGGGGACCATATTTAAGTTGCCAACAACAGAAATTTTGTTGTGTTGACCCTGGAATATTGGATCATTCTGAGGAAGAAGAGAGTATAATATGACTATGTGTTTTCAAAAAGTAAAGGTGATAAAACACTTTTCCTTTGTATGAGTCTATGAAAATCAGATTTTAAACATTAACCAAAGGACTTAAAGTGGAGAAGAAAATGCAGTTTAAAATAACTGGAAATCCAAAAATATTCAGAAAACTATGGAAGTCCAAAATGTGAGCAGCTGTTTTTTCTCTTCTGATTTTCCCTTTTTTTTGGTGATACTTTTCTTTTTCCCTTCTGTTTGTTTGGGGTTTTTCCCCCCTTTCTTCTGGGGATTACCTTATTATTAACACTCAGGAGATGGCTTACTCCTCTCACTAGACCAACTCTATGAAATAGGCTTGTTGCTTTGAATTTATAAGGTTCTGGCAGTTGTCATGCTGACGAAAGTTCACTAGGTGGCAGGAGAATGTCATGGATCAGCATCTCAAATCTCTTATTGAGAACATGTCATCTTTTACTCTATTTCTGTGGGTACTTACTCTGGTACTAAATTATACTAATTTATTCTTTAGTCACCTTATAAACTTCTTACACGGCTGTGGCTGGGTCTTACTGGTTTTTCCCAACTGCATAATGGCTGGTGAATGAATTTCTAGTGTAGGTCTCAACCTCAAATTACTCTTGACATTCTTAGGTATTACACTGATATTTTCTTCTAAAGATTCGCAGAACTTGAAATAGAAAAAATGTTTGAAACTGCCATGTGTTTAAAAATTATAATTAGGTTATAACTCAAAACTTTATTCATATTCTAAAAACTGTTCCATCTTCTGGAGAGGTCTCAAGTTCTTTATCATCATTGTTTAGAAAGAAGACTTGTGTGATTAAAATAAACTGTTGACACAATTTCACTAAATATATATATGCTTCTTTAATGTAGGAGCTGAAGTTGCTTTGGTTGGTGGCTTGAAACTTCTAGCTAGACTGTCACTTCTTACAGAACAAGACTTATGGACTGTTAATGGACTTCCAAATGAAAATAACTCTTCAGATCATCTGCCTTTACTGGCTAAGTTCAGACTTGAACTCTGATTCTTCTTTGATTGCATTCATAATTTTCTTTCCAATGTGTATGCTTTTCAAAGAATGTAAAGTTGTTTTTGAGTGTCTGCATGTTTATTTTTGCGCTGTGGAGCCTTTGAAGAGGTTGTGTTAAATGCTTGAAACAGATATCAGAAGAAACAAGTTTACAATAATTTTCTTTTTTAATAGTGAAAAATATTTTCATGACAAGTGAGATCTAAATACTCTTTATCATAAAAGAGATGTAAGTATTTTTTATTGTAAGTCCCAGTAAAATTGACAATGATTTTTAAATATAGTGCATCATTCTTATAGTAAAGAATTTCATTTTGTGTTTTTGGCAAGCTTTACAGTGGGTCCAGAATATCTTTGAATTCTTGCAAATCACAACTTGTTGCCTTTCGAGAAGGTCCGATGTCATTGGGATAACTCTGTTTGTTTAGTCCTAATTAGTTCATCTCAGAAATCATTAGGTCATTCACAGGTGTCCAATAATTTTAGCTTGTTTTTAAAGCAGCTTGATAATACATTTTAAATTATACAGAATGCTTAAACCATCTTATTACTGTCCTGAGCCATGCCTGCATTTTGTTGGGGAAATGTTTGGGACACACAGGTCACCATAACTAGGAAGAGGACAAGGTGCTTTATGTAAGCCCACTCTTGTAACAAACAGAGGTGGGCCCGAGAGATGCAGAGACTTTGGGGATATGCCTTTGTTTCCCTAGCATTTTTTTTCTAATTAGTTTCAAGAAAAGATCCCTGGGTTGGGGGAGAAATTTTATTTTACTGAACCAATTCTGTAGAAATTTATTTTATTAGGGGACTTGTCTTTGGAACAAAGTTGGCAGCTATAAAATTGTTTTTGTTACGCCTCAGAAATGTGAGGAACCCTGTAAAACTCTAGCGGGGAGATACCAACTTAGAGCCCTAATACTCTTGAAGTAGTCATTTTATTTTTATTTTATTTATTTATTTTTTTTCCTTTTTGTCTTTTTTCATGTCCGGCAATGGATCGCAACCCTCAGTGTCGTGCCCGCACCTCGCTCAGCCAGTGAGCGGGAACCAGTCTGTATGTGGGATCCGAACCCTTGGTGGGAGCGCCACCGCGCTCCCAAGCGGCGCACTGTAGCAGTGCGCCACCGGGCCGGCCCTGAAGTAGTCATTTTAACTGTTGGTTTTAGTGAGTTTGTTTCTAAAATGTTTTACTTTCTTTTACAATGATGCACCAGTGTGAGATGGTGCTGACATTTTTTATGAAGTGGTTACGAGCAGATTTAATAAATCCTGTAGTTGGCTTTCTGAAAGGGTTTGGGTCAAAACTTTTAAAACATAAAAAGTAGAAATGTTCTCCTTTTTAGAGAGTAGAATCAAAGAATTACATGCATTTTTACTAAGTAGTAATTTTACACTGAATTATAAACGTTTCATAGAATGTTCATCTTAAATTGGAAAACAATAAGTCTTGTACTTCAACAGTTTTTGTACTAAAACACTTACGATAATTATTTTTAAAATATAAAGCAGATGAAAGCCTCAGAGAAGGCACACAGGTTATAAGGATTGCTTAGTAATAATTGTGATATGTGGATACTTTTGAACATTTAATTTAACATCTTCTTAGGGTTTTTATTTATAGTATTAACTGTAGTTCCAGGATTTTCTACATTTTTTTAGTAATAGTTTGCAGAATATTATGATATATCCTAATTAGCAAATATAGTCATCATCAAATTATAATGATAGTATAATTTACACAGATTTTTTTTTTTTTTTTTGGCAGCTGGCTAATACAGGGATCTGAACCCTGGACCTTGGTGTTGTCAGCACCATGCTCTCACCAACTGAGCTAGCCAGCCAGCCTTATCCTTTTTTAGTATGGGGGAAAGAAAAATGAGAATTTGTTGATTAATTACTGCTTTGTATTGTGTGAATTCGTTAACAAATAACTTTATTATACATAGGTCATTGTTAACAGACTAACATCCCTAAAAACCTCTGTGAACATTTAATTTTTTAATATCCTGATTAATATATTGTGATTTTAGACTCGTTTCATGTGCGTCACTCTGATAGAGTTAATCCAATAAATTGCTTTCTACTTTAGCCTATCAAATGAAGTATTATTTCGTGGACTGGAGGCCAAAAGATCAGTGTAACCTCACAGGTTTTTAAAGCTCCACTGAAAGTAATTACCCACTTGCCTTTACTTTATTTGACCAGAAGAGTTGGTAGCTATGCTGGAGCCTTGTATTTACCCACGAGAAACAATTAAATTTGGTTAATTGCTGAAATAAAATCTCTTGCAGTCACAAATGCTATACTATTCAAGTTTTAAATGAAAAAGGAAATTGTGGTATAATAAAATTTTGAGTTTACCATACCTTTTGATATCAAGATAGTATGCATGTTTGAAGTCTTGTCTTTTTTGGAAATTTAGCAACTGTCTGCTTTTGCCTTCTTTGGGAAAAAACAGAGATCCAGAGAGTCAACGGAGTTGGGGAAACAGAGGTGTCAAGTCATTTGCACTTTGTACCTGTACATTATGTAATAAATTATGATACTCATATATCCTGTGCCTGAAAGTTTTGTGGTAGTGTACTAAGCTGTATACACTGGCCTGTTGTCTCTCCTAAACTATTTCCTTTTCAGCCTTTATTTATTTATGGTGATGCTAAAAGATAGGCAAATTATGCCAGAATAATGTTTAATATTGTCTGAAAATTGTGAAAGAAGAAAGGCGAAAGAATGATAATTAGTTAACTAGAACAAGAATGTAATAAGAGGACAAGGAAAAAAAATCACACCATTTTATATTTTCAGAAGAAAAACAATCCATGAGTTTCCAGGATGGTTTTATTAAAGTCTCATGCTGTATATAAACATACAAGTGATGAGGAAAACATTAACTTGAAACATGCATTGATCTGGCATTCTCTAAAATACCATTATACAAGTTTTTGTTTACTTAAAAAAATACCCACTAAAACAATCACAGTTTTTCTTAAAGATTTAAAAAACTGTATTGGCTAGAACAAAGTCCAGGAGAATAAACAAAATTCTGAATTGTATGTCAAAAAAACTGTACAAGGTTGTACATAAAACTATAGCTTACAAAAGCCTTGGGTATAGTAAGAATACTGAATTAAGAGTTCCAAAGTTCTATTTACCAATATCTATTAATAAAATCCTTATGAAATAATTGACTTAGAAAAAGTGAAATGCTCATAATTTCAGAGTGTATAGAAAATACTAAATATCACTTTCTGAAATAAAGTGTACTCAAAACAGCACATCATATAGTCTATAATCAAGATTTCTGTCATTCATTTAAACTTTGCATAAATTGCCATGATGGCTTAAGCATAAATTTTTTTCCCATTAATAACTTTTTAAAACTAGATTTCAAATCATTTCCTAATTGCTTTTTTGTTTGTTTTTTAATCTTTCAAATTATAGCCAGTCTTAAAATCAATGTTGGGGAGTTAAACCATGTCAGGTTTTTTTTCCCTTGCCTTAATGTTACTTTAATTAAATTATTTCACTAGAATTTAGGAGTTTGGTGTTTCCCATATCTTTTAGAAATTAACATAATCCATAGGCAATAAAAATAGAATGACAACTAAGAACAATTTTTAATTAATTTTCATGTTTCTGTGACTAACCCTTACTTTTGGAAAATGAATCTAAAAATCAAGAAGTGAGTATAGAAGAAATTAGGTCACTAATTGAATCATCAAGCCACTTGGCAGTTTTAAGGCTTACATCAACATACAGTTTCTATTCTTTTCCCTCTCTTTTTGTGGGAAACAAGAGGTGATTGCATCTTTTTGACATTCTGTATTTTAGATGGAACAGTACTTAGTGCTTGGCAAATCCCATTCCAAGCTCATAGAATGGTTGCAGTGTTGTAGTCTCCTTACTAGATATAATAAAGTTTCAGACTGAAAAACAGAAGATAAATGGCTAAGTCAGTGTTGCTTTAGAATGAGAATGAAGTCACTCATTGACTACTCCAAACATCAAAATACATGCGGCCATGAGGCTGCAAATGGGTTTGCTGTGTGAAGATATACAAAGATAACTCATTTTTAACTCTGATAATACTATTCTTAAAGAAAAAGATTAAGTTCAGAATTTGTAACTTATGTTGCATTTTAATCTAGTTGAGATGTATACTTCTTTGGTCCTGTTAATCTAAAGGACACTGGACTTCCCTCTTTTTCAAGAAGACAGTATTTTCATTAATAATACTGATTTTTAGGGTTAAGAGAGCTCTTGTGCACATAGCTGAAGGAGGAAGTCCTTTTGCTTTCCAGGTCACCCCCAGAGGTTTTATTGGTAAAGATTCTCAATGAGCAGATTCTTATTTTTTTTACTCCCTTCCTATAACCACCTTCATACAAAGAGAGCCAGAGGAGAAGCACTGAGACTGACATAGGACTTTGTTGACAGGCAGGCTGCACTTATATAATATCTTTTGGTCTCATAGGTTGGCATAGCTGGCTAAGATAAAACAAGCGACACAGAGGCTGTACTCTTGATATTCATGACATACAAACTACGTATGCTGTTAAGAGTTATCTTGTGTGGGCTGCAGCCAGAAGTTACACTGTAACTACCATATGCAGGCCCGATATTCATTCTGTGCTTCATGGACTAAATCACACTATAAGGTGTAACACTGTACAGGAAGACTTTTCCATTAAAAAGTTTCTGCTTCTCTATTTCATTGTATTTTCCAGTACTAGTTCCTAAATGTCATGAAGTAGAACCTAAAAGCAAGGTACTGGAAAATAACCTTAGTGTGTCACCTTTGGTCTTAATATAAGACATCAGAATGCATCTTTAACAGTGAGTCCTATGGAATCAAAGCCTGACTCAGAGTTTAAAAATCAGAGAAATGTGAACAGAAAGGTTATCTGGTTCTCACGACCTGCTGATTCATTCCTCGTCTCTTGCCTTTGTGGGTGTGTTACTATCAGAGGTAATCGCAATACTGCTAAATTTGTGTAATAGTGCATGACCTCTTGTGCTTTTTGCTGGAGTCTGCAAAGTTTAAATGTTAGTGACAGAACATAGACTAGCTTCTGAACGTGCTTTGTTTTGTTTTGAAAGAACAAAAACTGTGTCAGTGAATGCTTTAAGAAAGAAGGAAGAAACTCCAAGATCCTAAAAATGGTTTCCCGTATTGCCAGAAGAATTTCAGTGCTTTTTTAGTAAAACACTTGCATATAATACCTTAAATCTCATCTCACATGTGCACCAGGAAAAATAAAAACCTCCAAACTTGT